AAAAAGACCGTGATCTGTTTTCAACTGTACAACAGTGGGTTAACAAACTGACACAGCCTTTTCAACATTGATGTATGTTTAATCTATGCAGTATGAAGAGGGATGAGCTCCGGAGCAGGTTCCCTCTTTGCTCTCAATGTGCAGTTGACTGTTCAATTAGACAGCAGCTGCCAGCTCTCTTTAAATCTGATGGTTTTTGTACATTTGTCTCAATCATATGGGTTATGTTTGGAGCTCTGGTTAATTCCATTACTGACTGTAAATCACTCCAAGTTGGTGGGTTTTTTTACATTGAGTGCAGCAGATGCAATTGGAGCAGACTTGACTTGGACAGATTCTGATCACCGTTGCCAGGAGCCTTGCACTGTCTGCAGTGTCCATTGTATTACAGCGTTGATGGGATTCAAGTCAGAGCTGACATCGTACTGCTGCTATCTAAAGCACAATTTAATATGGTCTGCTCTTCCCAGTTCTTTTAAATCTGGGATTGAGAGGGCTGTCATTGAAAAATATACTGGGATTACTCTCTCTACTACACCCGCACCCACTCTTCCACTGGGGACAGTTGCACAATATTATCGCAGTTGGGGAGAAGTGGTGTAGTGGGATTGTCATTGAGCTAGCAAACTAGAGGCACAGGCTAATGTTCTGAATTATCGGTTCAAATCCATCATTTTAGCTAGGGGAATTTAAATTTGATAAATTGAAAACTAATCTCAGTGATGAGGACCATGACACTATCGTTGATTGTCACAATCATCTGTTGTCTGGTTCACTAATGTCCTTCAGGGAGGGAATTCTGCCATCCTTACCTGGTCTAGCCTGCATGTGACTCCAGACCCACTGCACGGTGGTTGGCTCCTAACTGCCCTTTGAAATGGCCCAGCAAGCAACAAATGCTGGGTTTGCCCGTGATGTCCACATCCTACGAAAGAATAAATAAAAAGTTTTCATTCAGAGACTGCCTTGTTTGCAACCTGTAGCTTCCTCACTATAAATAGGAGAGGCTGGAGTTGTATTGAGAATCTGAATCACCAGCTAAAATTGAATCTAACCCAGATCGGCAGGGCACTTCCCCAAAGGGCAAACATATTCTGCCTTATCAACACTATAGTGCTGTGTTTTCAGTTACACTGAATGAGAATGGTGACTTTGTACCCTTTTCACTGGACTCATATATTCCTGTACTTGAGTACACGTGACAAATTCTGTTTCTAATCTGGAGGGGACTTTAAGCATCAGTGGGAATGATGAAGGAAGGGCTGTGAACTGTAAATTGAGAAAGATTCCGGCACGGAGTTGCAATCAAGGCTCCGACACTATCTGCTGAAATGGTCAGCAAATGAATAATTCACTCTTTAACCTCTGCTGGATAATTTGTTTTGGTCCTTCTGAGTGTGAGGCCAGGACCCAGACCAGAGACAGGGTGGAGTTTATTCTGCCTGTTCTAGTTTGAGTTGTACAAACTCATGCCTAGTCCCAATCCCTGACTGTGGTACCTGAAATTGTATATGCAAATGTTTTGATTATACAAGGTGCTATTGCAAAGGGAGAGATAAATCCTTGCTGAACCTAACATGTGATCTGTGACAGCCTGATGAGACATCATTTGGCTTTTCCAATCAAATACAATTTAGTCTGTGAGTTGGATTCCCAGAGCAAGTTGAAGCTTCTCTTCTGTGGGGTGGGATCGCTGTGACGTTTAGAAACTCCAGGAGATTTTCCTGCTGTTGCACTACTTAGTTACTTTGGTGAAGCACCTTGGGCTGTTTGTCAAAAGCTGTGACTACATACAGGCTGCTGTGCTGTACCACATCCGCCACAGACCCCACAGCTTTGGCATGATCTAACTGAGGATTCTGCCGGATAGTATAGCATCCCTTTGTAATGAGATTTATGAATTTAGCTTCCAATGAGGAGATGAACAAACATTCATATATGCTGTGATTTGAGTTATGTGGGTTAATTCCTCCAAGGCGTTTGGGGATCTGCATTGGACACACTTGGAGCGAGTTAATGTAAGAGAATGTACTTTGTGTGGTTTGAAGTTGAAAATGGCTGGGTTCCAAGGACTGTGTTCAACAATTTATGACTATGCTATATTGGTGCTCTATCTAGAGGTTTACCCACAGGATGAGTGTGGGAGTGAATTGTCAAAATGTAAAGTTCCACAATGCAGTATAGTGCAAGGTTGCAAGGAGTAAGCATACAGCAGCACTGCTCTTTCGGCTCAATCGGTGGGAAAAGATTTTAATGTTCAGTAACTTTGTGTGGACAGCATACTATTTATGTACAGTATGGACTGAGGCATTCAGCTTCAGTCTGTTTGTATTGCTTCTTACTGAGCAAATGGTTCTGACATCCAGAATCAGTGGCCATAGACTTGGGGTAGGGAGATTCAAGGGGAAATATTTTCATTGGGTATTTAGATCAGGAACTCCCTGCTTGAAAGGTGGTGAAGGCAGAAACCCTCCTAACACATAAAATATAAAAACCTAAAAAACTGTGAATGCTGTAAATCAGAAACAAAAATAGAAGTTGCTGGAAAAGCTCAGCAGATCTAGCAGCACCTGTGAAGAGAAATCAAAGTTAACGTTTTGGGTCGAGTGACCCTCTCTCAGAAGGGTCTGATTTACAGTTAAAATATGTTTGGAAATGCCCTTGAAGTGCTGTAACCAATTAGGGCTATTCAACCATAGCAGGATCAGACTGGTGGCTGCCTTTGGCTCAGTTGGCCAGAAACCACCCTCCCCGCCAATTCATAGGTTTTTGTGATTCATACTCCCCCTGTCTCCTGTTGCCTCCCGTTTCCTTCACCCCATCCTCCGATCTAATTTTGAACGCTCTTAGGTGTGAGCTATAGCCCCTGGGAGTGAATGCCCCAGCTCTGCAGTATTCTGGGGAGAAGTTTCTGCTGTCTTATCACCTGATTCTCTTAGGGTTGTGAGTGTGAGATAAAATCTATTATTGGAACAAACTTGGCAACTCTGCCCCATACTTTGTCCTATCACTCTGTGACCTCCATGTCTAACAAGAAATCCCAATGTTGTAGACCTTGTATTGGCATTTCCTCAGAACTAATATCCTGATGTCCATTGCTGTCCATTCTCTGAAACATCAATATCTTTCCTGTAAAGTGAAGCTCCCTATGGAACATTTGTTTAACTTGAGTCTTAAGATTTTATATGAACTCCTCATTACCTCTTGAATTTTATAGTCTATTTATTCACTGGGTGCTAGTCTTGTTGGTAGTGCCTCTGAATTTGAACAACGATGCAGTTATCCCATCACTAACACACCTGCAGACTCTAATCTGGACTGGGGAATCTCCTATGTCGCTAGTTGTAAATCTTTGTTGGTGAACTCTCCTTACTTTATGGTGTAACATTATCGTTCAGGTGTTGCAACAGGAATTTATCTGAAGAGAGCAATCCCTGTGATTAATTTAGAGACCTTGCCAGGATGTTCTTCAATTGCATGTGTCGTGAGCTAACCAGTCTCTGTTGGTCAATAGCGAGAGATCCAAGTAATGTCCCTGAGCTAGAGAGGGCTGATAATCCCCCAGAGGTTCCTGTTGCTGAAACCTTTGGCATGTGTGTGGATATTGACTGGGGGTAGTTGTAATTGATGTTCCTCTCCGAGTGGTTTGTAATATCCCACCGATGCTCATGGTGAAACTCCTTGTGAGAAGTAAACATTAGGCTGAGGGACTGGGATGCATTTTAGTGCTTGCCCCTGAGAGGCTGTACTTTCAGGTCTGGTGGCGAGAATATTAGCCAAAGTGATGGCTAGAAAGAGATAGGATTGAATCACACCTTGCTAAGTTATACTGGCAACACTGCCTGACCATTGTACTTCTCACTTAGGAGAAGATCAATCTTTGTGAATTATTGCTTATTTATAAAGGTTTAATGTCCTTAGCTAGTTATCTTATTTAAATTAGACTTGTTATATTCTGTGTCCTTTATAAAATGTCTAAAAGAGCAAAGACACTGCAACTTTCCAGGGAGTTTGATGTGAGTTTGTCTGATTCCTGAGCAGAAGTTGGGATTGGATATGAGGGTGAATCTTTTATAAGGTGGGAGTGACAGTTGCAGTGTCTGACTCTTGCATTGAGGTATAGTGTTGAGACTAGGAGTGGTGGGCCTTGTTTAAAAATGACTTTTGGTTAGAATACAGTCTGGGGATATTGGCATCTGTGAAACTAAGTAATTGAAACATCATGCAATGAAATTCCCCAATGCTGCTGTCATTTCCAGCAGAGTTTACAAAGGAATTGTGTTGGAAAACCTTGTGCACAAACAGGTTTGTTCCATGTCACTAGGAAAAATGGGAGCAGCTCCGGGATATTTCCCTGTTGTTACATATTCTGGTTGCCACACAGTAACTGAGAGGGAGCTGTGTGCTAGAGCTTTCACTCCGTCTCTGAAGGGGCTGAACTTGATTTTGCACTTTATCCTCAATAATTTAAATGTCTGTTTTTGTAGAAGCACAAATTTCTGACCATGTACTGTGAAATAAAAAGGGTTTTCGGTTCTTGCTATCTTTTACTCTCTGTCTTGTCTTTTTGGAAGTGGATTTTCTATCATCAAAATGTAACTGGGATACAACAGAAGGATTAATTGTTAAAAAGAGAAAAGGAAGGTATCAGTTATACCAGAAGACAGAGTCACTCAACTGGATTTAATCCCATTCTGTAACTTACTTCCAGGGATCTGTTATTTATCTAAATTCTGCCCCCCCCACCCCAAAACCCTCGATTTAGATTCCAGTCTGTAACTCATTCCTGTGTATCCATTATTCTTTATATAGAACTTATGATTACATTCTGGTGCAGAGTATTAAATGGACTGCAGAGTGAGAACTTGGGGATTTTCTTCAATTATATTTAATTTTGCAACAGTAATTCACACTGTTACGTATAAACGAGAATTTCCTGCAGAAAGGATTCTCTGTATATTTACAAACATGTAAACTTGTGCAATTTTCAGAAGTGCAAGTTTTGTTACAGTTAAGTACATTTATGAATGCAACCTTTTAAACAACCTTATTATCAAAGACTATTGTTCAGCAGCAGATGTGAAGTTGTATAAATACTAGCTGTGGTTTGACATTGTCAAAGCCTTTGTCTAACTTCAGTGAAATGTCACCGAAGGAGAAAGGACTATTCAAACCATCACATCTGTTCCCTTCACAGGTTTTGGAATTGTCTCACTGGAGAATATGAACTGTTCCAGAAGTTTTTCTCTAATGTTACCCAACCTGGGAACGTTTGAAGACAGTGTAGGGAGGCCTTTACTCTGTACCTAACCCAATGCTGCCCCTGTCCCAGGAGCGTTTGATGGGGACAGTCTAGAGAAAGCTTTACTCTGTATCTAACACTGCTGTCCGAATCCTGGGAGGGTTTGATGGGGGACAGTGTAGAAGGAACTTTACTTTGCATCTGACCATGAGCTGCCCCTGTCCTGGGAGTGCTTGGGAAAGTGTAGAAAGAGCTTTAATCTGTATATAATTCTGTGCTGTCCCTGTCCCAGGAGTGTTTGATGGGGGCAATGGAGAGACATGGGAATGGATATCTACGTTTGCCTCTGAACCATCTGAAAGTGTTAAATAAAATCATCGTACAGCAGGATTAGTCTGTCCTCATAGCTTCAGTGAGCAATGAGGAGGCTTAATGGTAGGACTTTGTTTAGCTAATCAAAGTCTGTTTGCCTTGTCAGTTGGTCTCAACAACCAAGTGCTCTCGGATTCTGGAAAGAGTCTTGAATTTGTTCCAAGGTCCTCCTCCTTGTTTCAGGAATACAGAAAGCGGTAAATATTATCCCCAGGATGGATATGGCACAGAAGAACAGGAAAGGAACAGCAAGTCCAAAGGTATGCTGAAAAAGAAAAGAAAAGGTTTAAAGTTCTGTCTTTGCTCCTGTCTACAGCTTGTATGAAAGCTAGTGATCACAACGTTTAACCCTCAAGTCCGGTGAGCAGATTGAAAGAGCAAAAGACTGAACATTAGAAAGAAAGACTTCCACAACTTCATTTGTGAAGTTCATTGTCATTTACAGAAAAGTGAAGTAACAGCTGCAATGTGGGAAATAGTGCCCAAATATACATAGCAGGATCCCACAAACAGTAATGTTTTGATCATAAAATAACCCCTTTGGAATGAAGGATGAATGTTGGCCAGATCTTTTCATCTTTGAAATAGCACCATTGAGTCTTTCACATCCAGCTGAGTGCACAGCTTTCACATTGATCCCACATCTCATCTGAGAGGCAGCACCTCTACAGCCGAGCAGCACTCCCTCAGAAATGCACCAGGCATGTCCCCCTTTATCACGTTGTCAAGTCTCGAGTGGGATGCGAACCCACAAGTTTCTGGCTGAGCAAAGTAAGCCACACTTGATGCTGATAGCACTCTGGTAGCTTGCAGAGAGGAGATTGTCATTGTCATTATCTTGAGAGTATAGGTTTGAAAGGTGATCTAATTGAGCTGGGACTTAATTGGGGTGGCAAAGTATTTCCTGTAAGGGAAGTCCAGGACAAGAGATGCAGAGCCCTAAAACATGAGCCAGGGTGATGTTAGAAAGCAATCCTTCACCTAAAAGGGATTGAAATGTGAAACTCCCCCCAAAGTACTGTTGAGCTGAGGTCAATTGCCACTTTCATGACTAATATTGATAAATTTTTGTTGGCTTTGCAGGAATGAGGGATCTGGAGGAGAGGTGAGAAAACGGGTCTGAATTACAGATCAGTTGTCATATAGTTGAAAAACAGCAGGCTTGTAAGGTTGAATAGTCTCTTCCATCCTACATCCTACCGCACTGGTAGGCTGGATCAGTTAGGACTATGTTTGCTGGAGTTTAGAAGAATGGAGGGGGATCTTACAGAAATCTATAACGTTGTAACAAGATTAAACAGGGTAAACGCAGGAAGGATGTTCCTGATGATTGGGAAGTCCAGAACCAGGGGTCATAGTCTAAAGTATAAAGCACTGGGATGAGGAGAAATGTTTTCGCCCAGAGAGTGGGGAGCCTGTGGGATTTTCCATTGCAGAGATCAGGTGAGGCCAAAACATTGAATGTTTTCAGGAAGGAGTTAGAGTTCTTTAGGCTAAAGAGATCAAAGAGTACAGGGAGAAAGTGGGAACAGGATTTGGATGGTCAGCCGTGATCATATGCAATGGGACAGCAGGCTGGAAGAGTAGAATGGCCTACTCCTGTTCTTATTTTCCGTGTCTATCCTTACACAAACAGTCATGTCATCTCCCAGAAGAGGTAATGAAAATGTAGATGGAGTAAACCTTTGGCTAATTCTGAGCAAGAAAATAAATCAGGCACTGGGGGGAAAGTGTAGACAGTGAAAAACGTGTTAACCTTCACTTGTAAGAAGAATTCTGTTAAGATGAAGGCTGTGATCCAACTGACAGACACACATACGCCCGATGCGAACCCGCGGATTTTGAGTGGAAGGATCTCCGACATCATCAGCCAGGTGATTGGTCCCCAGCCGAAGGCATAGCCTGTATGTAGGGGTCAAGGGGGGGGAAGAGTTCAACCACATGGAGGCAGTTAACAAACCCAATGCACTGACAAAAGGCTTCAAACTAAAGATCATTTACTAAATCCACAATTAAAAGGTTACTGTGCAAGATAAGAGCTCAGATACTGGGGAGGATATATTAACATGGATGAAGATTGGCTAACAGGAGATTATATATTAGCAAACTGTAAGATTACAGCAGTGATACGTGCTAGAGTCCCAACTACTTATTAATAACACAAATGAATGGCCATCCTACATTTGCTTGTGTCACCAAGATTGGTAGGAAAGTAAGTTCTGAAGAGAATGTAAAGAGTCTGTAAGGGGAAATAAATAGGTTCAGGAATTCGGCAAAAATTCAGAAACATTTACACTTGTCGACTTTGGCAGGAAGAATAAATAAATCAGCTTGTTATTTAAATAGATCAAGTGAGGCAGTCTACACAACTCTGAAGAGCAGAAGGATCGGACTGTCCTGAGGTATCATTTTTTTTAAAAGAAAAGCTAGTTACCAGTTTGAAATAGTAAGAACTGCCGATGCTGGAGTCGGAGATAACACAGTGTGGAGCTGCAGGAACACGGCAGGCCAGGCAGCATCAGAGGAGCAGGAATGCTGACATTTCGGGTTGGGACCCTTATTCAGAAAATCAGAAAGTTTCTAAGGAAGGGTCCCAACCTGAAACATCAGCTTTCCTACTCCTCTGATGCTGCCTGGCCTGATGTGTTCCTCCAGCTCCACACTGCATTATCTTAGTTACCAGTTTTGATGTGCAGCAAATATTTAGGAATGCAGATGGATCGTTGATCCTTATTGAGTGAGAAATGGAACATAAAAGCAGGAATCCTTGGGATAACACAGCAGGCCTTGAGGACATTGCACCTGGATTGCTGTGCACAGTTCTAGGGGAGATTATGCTTGCATTGGGTGAAAGGTGAGAAGATTCACTCTTCACTGTTCCCCCATCAAACACTTCCAGGACAGAGACAGCGTGCAGTTAGATACAAAGTAAAGCTCTCTCTATACTATCTCTATCAATCACTCCCAGTTGAACTTACCAAAAATGAAAACCATGACACTGATGAGGGGAATGATGGTTGACCATTCTGTCGTTTTGTGTTGAAGTAGATGCTCAGCTGTTAAATGGGCTGTGTTCTCAAAGGGCATATTGGTGCTGGTTTGATTATGTTTTAATTCACTCACTTTGACGTAGACTCCGAGACTCAACATTGAGATGGACATGATTATACCTGGTAGGAGGAGGAGGAAATAAAAGGTCAGTTTCCTTGGTGGGTTGGGGTGGGAGGTTTCACTCTCAATGATGGGGATGTGGATGGAACCAGCTACAGGCAGTTTTCTGGGTACATTTCTGGATTAATAACCCAAAGGATATCACCATGGTGAGTTTATGAACTAGGGTTCTGATTAACAAACGGGAATCATGACCCTGAAGCAATCAGGTTTTCATAAAATCACTGGGCCTTGTGTATCCTTCAGGATAAGAAATGGCCTCCATGTGACTCCAGTCCCATTCCAGTGTGGTTGCCTTTCAGCTACTCTCTCCAGTGACCACTCAGTTTGTACAAACACCAATGGTTCAGGACAAATAGCAATGGCCTTTCCAACAATGTGCAAACATTGAGAATTATTTCAAATGCAGAATCCCAACATTCACTGATTGTCAGAACATCCACAGAATTGGGCTCAGAGTCTGGCAGCTGTGGGCAGTATATTAACGGGCTGGTCTTTCCAATGGGAGTTAGGAAGTTTTTGTGACTGGTTTGCAATGGAAATTGTGCAGAATGTCAGGACCCGAACCCCAGCCTGTCCTCGGAACAGCAGAATCACAGAGTCTGACTGTGCTACCTTCTGTCTCATTGGCAGCTGATTGACATTGGGAGTCATCACAGCTGAGTCTCGTCCTGTCTCACAGTGCCATCAGGATAGTGCTCAGGAGCAGGAGTTCCAGCTGATTTCCCTTTGACCTAACCCCAAAGAAGTTAAAACCAATTTTAGTGCATTCCATCCCTCTCCCACCAACTGCACATTATCTCAGTGGTGGGATCTGGGATCCCTCATTCCCATTCTGTGCTGATTGCTAAGTCACTGAGGAACAGCAGGCCCTTCCATTCTGTTTGGCTGAAGCTCCAGCCTTACTGTACCTGAGACAAAGAGAAGTCTCCGTCTTCCAGCTTTGTCCATTAGCCAGGCAGCTAACAAGACAGAGAAGAATCGAACAACCCCCACAGGCACAGCATCATAACGTCCTGCCTAATGAAAAAGACCTTCCATTAGTGTGTGAGGGGAGGGAGAAGGAGATAGAGGGGAGAGAGAAAGATGGTGGG